ACACACACACACACACACACACACACACACACACACACACACACACAGAGCAAGGAAAGCTGCTCATACATAGATTACATTTTGATTAATTTGTTATTTCACCAACCATTTATTTACTATAATATTAACAAATTACACATACTCAAGGAAAACTTCTCATGGAGGTTTTTGTAATGAAATTTCAAAAAAAAGTAACCAACAGCCCACTGACAGCCGCACTTTATGTGCCCAGCATGAGTCTATATTTCTGACAGGAAGTAAGCAATGGTCAGAACTAAAACGACGTATTTTTAAGTACTTCAAGCCAGCTCTGAGAATAGCCCACTCAGGTCTGGGAGCCCTGCTTCCCTGGCAAAGCCCATTTGCTCACAGAAGCGAAGCAGCTTCGGGCCAGTCTGCTCTGCGTGCCTAGAGCAGGTTAACAGTACACCACAATATAATGTATTACTAAAGACCACAATTCACTTTCCAATGATTCCTTTGGGAAATTTTTTACATTTAAAACTTTTCTGTGTTTACTTCCAAACAGTGAGACCAAAACAAGTATCTTAGACCATTATAAATCAAATTAAATGACACTGAGGAGAAAATAAAACAAAACAAAAAACAGAGGGGGAAAAGTGAAGTTTTATAGGCTACAAATATGAAGCATAAAGACAACATATTCTTCTATTTATTTTTTAGAAGGAGCACAGTTGAGTAGCACTTACTTAAGTAATGTAACACATACAGAATTACATTTAATCATACCTGAGGCTTTGTCTCCACATACTACACAAAGATCAAAAACTTTATTTGGTCCCTGGTCAGGAGAATTTTCTGTTAAGAGCTTTTAAAAGAAGGAAAACATTATTAATTGATGCTGTCCAACAGTAAGTCATACTGTCCAACAGTGAAAGAATACAGAGTCAGAGCTACTTCCTACTTTGACGTAAATTCCTCTTCAACTAAGAGTCCTGTTACCATGGCTATATCTTAAGGCTAGCATAACTGCTCGCCTTCTTTCACACACAGGCAAAACTACGAGTGTCTTTTTACTTGCTCCATAGCAATGACAACAACTCCTTAAGAAATCAAAAGGTGTAAGCTTTGATGGCACAAACCTTTGATCCTAGCACTGCAAGGAGGGAGGGGCAGGCAGGTGGGTCTTTGTGAATTCAAGTCTACTGAGTGAGCTCTGGTCCAGGCAGGGATACATAGTGAGATTCTTTCTCAAAACCCCCAAACCCAACTGATGCTGATCCAGTGGCTAAGAGCACTTGCTGCTCTTACAGAGGACATGGGTTCGATTCCCAGCACCCACATCAGGGAGTTCACAGCCAATCTGTAAGTGCAGTTTCAATGACTGAGGTCTTCCTCTGGCCTCCACACGCACCTACATACATGATGTACATGCACATATCCTCAGGTACACACTACATATGAAATAAATCTTTAAAAAGCTCAACGCTTTTATGTTTTTAAACATAAGCCCCTCATACACACTGAGATTACTCATATAGAATATATTTCATTATTCTAAAAGTTCTAAGACCTTCCATGACATTTGTCTTTGACAGTTCAAAACCTTTCCAAATGGAATGATACGGCAAGAGCATAAAATAAAGCTGATGCGGTAAGGTACACCTGCCATGCAAGCACTTGGGAGGCTAGGGTACAAGGGTCTTTGAGTTCAAAGAAGCCTGGCCACACAGTGAGACCCTACGTCAAACAAATGAGCCCTTTTCCCTCCAAACCCAAAGGTGATAGCATAAAAAGATAGTTGTGGATTTTTTTAAAAAGGAAGTTGTAAATAAATGTTATCGATGTCATTAATTACAATTATACAAACATGACTGCTATACAGAGACACCACATAACTGGCCATTAGTGAGCCTAGGTGAGGTGGCATGGGGTAACTACTAAGCCTTTCACATTGTATCAAGAGCTCATCACTAGGTACAGCTATTAGGATGCTACCAAAGAATTGTAGTTTCTTCTTTCACATTTACTTTTCTATCAGTCTTAGTTAATTGTTTCCCTATAGAAAAGACTTTTTTTTTAAATCATTATTTACCTGGAGGTGTGATGCAGACAGATCAGGGGTTGTAAAAAACAACTGGTTGACACCTGCTGCGTCTGGAGTTGTGAGGAAAACTTTCCCTGGGGTGGAGCCCTCATGACTTGCTAGAATGAACTGCTTTCCCTGTGTGCCATGGTCAAGTGCTGTCACGAGTTGGATTTTCTGCCCAGTCTGATCTGTAACAATCTAACACAACCATGACACATTAATAACCGATTCAACTCAATCATATCTGTTTGCTTTATGAGACCGGTCTGGCTATGTAGAAGACTGGCCTTGAACCCATGACCAGCTGCCTCAGCGTCCTGACTGCTAGAGAACAGGGCTGTGCTATCACAGCTGGCTTTTGTTTTCTTTCTTTCTTTTCTGGTTTGGTTTTAAGAGACAGGGTTTCTCTGTGTAACCTTGGTTGTCCTGGACTCACTCTGGAGACCAGGCTGGCCTCGAACTCATGGAGATCCACCTGCCTCAGCCTTCCTGAGTGTGCTTTTCTTTTCTTTAAATGAGTCAATATTAACCTCAAAGCCAAGCTAGAAAAGCCAGTCATACACCTTTTTGATGGCAGCTCTACTTGTAATGAAATTCTGACAGAAGCAAGCATGTGTGAAATTTATAAAGGCAAGATTATTTGACCTCACTATTTTGATTTCTTTCTTCTTTCACGACATTTCAGAACCAGCAGTTCTCAACCTGCGGCTCACAACTGAACAACCCTTTCACAGGGGTCACCTACGAACCCTCGGGAAGCACAGACATCTACATCCCAGTTCTTAACAGTAGCAAAATTACAGCTATGAAGCAGTAATGAAAATAATTGTATGGTTGGGGTCACCGCAGCATGAGGAACTGTATGAAACGGTCGCAGCATGAGGAAGGCTGAGAACCACTCACTTAAGGCAAGATATGTCCTGAGGTCCTTGGATTTATCAGTGAAAAGCAGAAAATCTTCGCCCTTATGAAACTTCCATTTAGTGGGGAAAGAGATAACTAACCAGTATTGTAGCTATCCTAAGTGCTGAGGAAGAAACAAAGCAAAGAAAGGTGAAAGAGGCAAAAGGAGTGACGGTGAAGAGAGAAACTCTTTTTAATGAGTTATATAATATATATAATGTATATATAAAATATATATACACACAGAGATCTGAATGAAGAAACACAGCCAGCATTAGACCAGCATCCCAGACACAGGAACCAACACACAAGGTGGCTCTGGGGAATGAGGGAATATGTTTTACATATCTGAGGCACACATCACAGCGAGAGAGTCTTGTGAGGACAGACAGCAAAATACAGGCTATCGCGGGCGACGGGAATCTGACAATGGCTGAGGGCAGATAACATGGGGCTTCAGAGGACCCACCGAATCTTAATCACCCACCTTGCAAAAAAAGCTACACCTCAGAGCAGCGGTTCTCAACCGCCCTACACCGTGGCCCTTCGGTACAGTTCCTCCTGTTATAGTGACCCCCAACCATAAAGTTATCTCCGTGGCTACTACCCCTAACTCTTAGAGCCATAATTTCACCACTGTCACGAATCGTAATATAAATATCTGATATGCAGGAGATCGCAAAGGGGTCGCGACCCACAGGTTGAGAACCAATGCCTTAGGGTTTAGAGCAGAGTGGCTGATCTCACTTTGGGGGGAAAAAAGATCTTTTAGGTTTAGTATGAAGAAGACTTGAAATGTATAAAAGTAAAATTAAGGGACAGGAAACAATGTTGAAACCACCAAGATGTGCCTGCATATGTAGCCAGTGGCAATGGCAGGAAACAGCATGGGCCACTGCCATGCTGACAGTGAAAAAGAATACCACTGGACTAGGGGGACACTTCTCCGGGTGTGCTGACGGTTCTGAGGTTAGTCAAGGGTGATTACAAAACTGGCCTGAGCAGTGAGGACCAAAGTGACCTCTGCTCTGACAGGATAGTCTACTGCAGAGTAAATTCATGAATGAGAGAGCAGCTACCTCAACAATGACAATGTTTGTTACAAATCAAATATTTCCCAAAATAAACTTTATTAAGCTGATTTAATCTTTGACCCTATTTTCAAACTTGTTTCAATTTTTTCTACTTTTACTTTTTTGAAATTATTTTATGTGCAAAATTTGAAAATAGGTTCTAAATGTCCAATGAAGTTTTTGTCTGTAGCAAATTGTATCATTTGAACTTCCTTTGATGAGCATTATTGCTACTATGTCCTATTTTTTCTACATAGTTTTTGTTTTGTTTTGCTTTTGTTTTTTCATGTTCTGAATAATATTTTCCACAGGTTATTTCTACTAATTCCAGACGCTACTAACCCTACTGGATTTGTCTTTGAACCAGTTCATTTGTAACAGATATTACCATTTGTCTTAGGGTTTCAATTGCTATGATGAAAGGCAAGCTAGAGGGGGCTGGAGAGATGGCTCAGCAGTTAAGAGCACTGTCTGCTCTTCCAGAGGTCCTGAGTTCAATTCCCAGCAACCACACGGTGGCTCATAACCATCTACACTGGGGTCTGATGTGCTCTCCTGGCACACAGGTGTAAATGCAGATAGAGCACTCATATACATAAAATAAATAAATAATAACTGTTTAAAAAAAAAAAAAGAAAAAGAAAAGCAAGCCAGAGAGAAAAGGGTTTATACAGTTTATATTTCCACATCACTGTCCATCATGGAAGGAAGTCGGGGCAGAAACTCAAGCATGGCAGGAACTGGATGCAGGAACCGAAGCAGAGGCCATAGAGGAGCCATACTTACTGGTGTGTTCCTCCTGGCTTGCTTAGCTGTTTGTCATCTCATAGCATCCAGGACCATCAGCCCTGGTGACACCACCTTCCCACATCAGTCGTCAATCAAGAAGCTGCAGGCTTATCCACAGGTCAATTTGATGGGGACATTTTCTCAAATAAGGTTTTCTCTTCTAAAATGACTCTAGCTTAATCAGGTTGACATAAAGCCAGCCAGCACAGCATGTTTTAAGTTGTATGTTCTATTTCGGATTGTTTGTTTCAACAATACTTATTGTGACTAAAAATCTAATATTCACTTAGTTTTTAGAAAAGAGAATTAGGTACATGCATGATCTAATGGTCACTGGGTTGAAACATTAGATCAGAAACTGGCACAGTGGCACACGCCTGTAATCCCAGCACTTTGAGAGGCAGAGGCAGGCAGATCCCTATGAGTTCAAAGCCAGCCTGGTCTACAGAGTCCAGGACAGCTGCACAGAGAAACCCTGTCTCAAAAAGCCAAAAAAGGAGAAACATTAGATTACTAAAAGAGTGTTTACTGCAGTGTAACAAAATAATTGAAAATAAAAACAATAAACTTGGTCTGGTCTTCAATGGAGAACTGTAATCAGGTAAGCAATTCTCAGGTCTCCAGAACTCTCTATACTATAAAAGTTAGGAGTCAGCTATCAGGTCCAATTTGATATTCGTAGGGTAAAAGGGTCAAGGAAAGAACACCCTGACCCTGACTTGACCCTGAGAACAGGGCCAAGGGTAAGATCACCCTGACCCTGACTTGACCCCAATACAAAGACCAGAGCCAAGGGGTGGGGGGATTACTAATCCCTAAACATGAAATCCCACCGATCTCTGACCTTTAAGATCAGACCACAAAATCCCATCAATCCCTGAGCTTGCCCCAAGAGCAGGCCACATAATCCCTCCAATCCCAGGCCACCCTGGGAGGCCTGATTCCCAAGAACCCCATATAAAGCCTGCCTTCTGCTCACTTCTCTCCTGAGCAGAGGCAGCCACCCTCCTGAGTTTTTCCCTCCCAATAAATCTCTTGGGTGAGGTTTGTGGTGTAGTGCGCCTTTGTGGAATGCCTGGGCTCCTGACTGCCAAGATACTTTTCACTTATGAACTATAACACTTGCATTGAGAAAGTCTCCCCCCAGAGCCCTAACACTTATCAAGAGCAATGAGAACGGAAAACACCTGTATTGGTGGTAGAGGTGGTCCAGCCCAAGGGGAGGAACAAGCTAAGAAATGCCATTCTCAAGTGGAATTTTGCCAAGTTTCTCATGGGCTAGAATGACTGCAGGGCCAAACTGTCTAACCCTATGGAAGAGCCCTTGGTGACAGGACAGAAGGACATGACTTGCTTTATCTAGACCCACAAATATGTGCTCAGGCCAAGTTCCCCCAACCCCAGGCCTGGGAACCCTTCATTTGCGTACATGACTGACATGTACATGCGTACATGTAAACCAGTGGGCTGCTGGGACAGATCTGTTATACACGGGGGCCATGTTCTAGCTCTACCCTGGCTGTCCTGTGGGAATACAATGAAGAAACTGGGGCTTGGGGAGGTATAATAAAATTTCTAAGATAATTAAAAACCCTTTATTCATTTAAAAAATAAATCACATACTAACAGAAAATAACTTTTTATGAAAACTAAGTTTATTTCTCCTCTAAATATGTAGGAGTAAAAGTAGTGGTATTTTACATTTCCATGAACTCTTTTAATGTGTGACTTAATAAAGTCGTAAGTTCTTATCTGTCTCTTCATTTATCTATTAGAGTATTTTCCTTTTGGTTCAAATTTAAAAAGAAAACCCAGTCTCACATCAACAGTATGGAAAGGAATGGGATATTTCAATAGCACTTTGAATTGTGGAAATTGTTCACTGCTATTACACCAAAACAGGACAAGTATCTTTGCAAAAGTTTATCTGTGGAATCAGTTGTTATATACAAAGTTATCACAGTGCAGGAACAGGAGTTATGTTATGTACAAAACTGTCTACAGTGTGGAATCAGGAGTTGTGTTTCATACAAAGTTTTCCGCAGTGTGGAAACAGGAGATTAATATACAAAGTTATCTGTAGTGTGGAATCAGGAGTTAGGTTATGTACAAAAAGAGAACCCAGAGCAGGGTAGGGAGAGATCTGAAGAAATAGATATTTTCTCTTATAAAGTCATAAACATCTTTATGTTTTTCTTAAAATTAATTATCTGTTCACCATTATTTATACCTAGTCTGACCTTGAATTTGAGATCCTTCTGCCTCTACCTCATGGGTTTTTGGATTATAGGCATGTGCCAGTAGCCTGGCAAGTCAATAATTTTTTTTTATAGGTACTAATAACCTGGGGAAGCTTTAGCTATTTTTTTTTTAATTTCACTATCAGCATTACTACATAAGATTTACTTATATGAGATAGTCAAATCTTAACTATATTGTAGTTTGGTTATGATACAACTTGATTGAACTAAGAGAATATCTGTTTTGTTTTTTCAACATAAACTATCTTAGTTATTGTTTCTTCTTCTTCTTACTGTGTGTGTGTGCATGACATATCTATATACGACAGGTGTGTGTGTGTGTGTGTGTGTGTGTGAGAGAGAGAGAGAGAGAGAGAGAGAGAGAGACCACACCTATGTGGAGGTCTGAGGGTTCTGACAACACCCCTATGGAGCTGTTTCTTTCATTCCACCTTTCTGTGGACCTCAGGGTTTGAACTCATGTCACCAGGTTTGCTCAGCATGCACCTCTGCTTGCTAAGCCATCTCAAAGGTCTGATCCCAGTTAATAGACACCTTGCCATAATTAACCACACTGTGGGAACTATCAGACCTTAAGCCAATTACCCTGTAGCATATTACAGATTTGTATTGTGCCTGTTTTTTATTTTATGTGTGTTACATTTATGTGTGCGCACGTGCGTGAGTGCGCGCGCGTGCCTATACTCCCCAGTGTGCATGTGGAGTGAGAGGACACCTTTGAGAGTTGGCTTTTTTTCTCTTCACCATATAGGTTCTCGGGATTGACCCCAGGTCATCAGGCTTCATTGGAAGTGCCTGTATCTGGATGAGCCATCGCCCCGGTCCCTCAGACTGGCTTCTAGTGGGTGCTACTTTATAGAAGGGTCCTCCTGTCTTTCCTACAGTGAATGGAGGCCAGGGAAGGTTACTCACAAGAGGCGGTGTTGCGCTTTCTGAGGCCTGCTTCTGAGGCCTGATGTGCGCAACATTTTTAATCATGTAAAAAATAACCATGTCAGCCGGGCAGTGGTGGTGCATGCCTTTAATTCTAGCACTCCAGAGGCAAAACCAGGGGGATTTCCGTGAGTCTGAGGCTGGCCTGCTCTACAGAGTGAGTTCCAGGATAGTCAGGGCTACACAGAGAAACCCTGAATTGGGAAACCAAAACCAGAAACATGCCTGACGTGGTCAAAATAGTCCAGAGTCAAAATTAACAATGTCCTAAATACATCCTAAAAACATATGCCATATCATGGTTACTTTTGCTGAAAAGAGGATATAGTCATTTAAGGCTGGTCTCAGCTTTTTCTCAGCCCTAAATAACATCCTCTGATCAGATTCCCTCCTATTCCTAACTCTTCATTAGCTTTTCGTTCATTTTTTATTGTTATAAATGTCTTGTGTATGTGTGTTCTACAGCACCATATACAGCAAAATCACAGCACTTATCGTATTCCCTGGCAATTGTTTAACTACTTCCTGCATAGAAAAGCTAATTGAAAGCTTGGTTCTCTTTCACTCTGGTACTTCCAAAACCTAATATAAACATTCAGCATGAAGAATGAAAGTCTGGTAGGTCAGCAAATGAATTGTAAACTAGACATACCTCACCCATCTGTTGTTCAATAATTTGATGTGCAATTTCTTCTATGGTCGCCATGACCTAACTGGCAAAATATCTGCCAAAGATGAAAAAAAAAAAAAGAGCCTTTTTACAATGATGCACATAAAGTATGTACTGAGGAGTTTGTAAGTGAAATTATCCGCTGCCTAAGATTTTCTTTAAAATAATCCAGTGAACGTAGTGAGAGGAACTAGAGCAGAGCTTCTCCACCTTCCTAACACGGCGACCTGTCCACACAGCTCCTCCCGCTGGAGTGACCCCCAAACAGGAATTTATTTTTGTTGCTACTTTCATAACTATAATTTTGCTACTGTTAGGAATCATGATGTAAATATCTGATATGCGGGATATCTGATATGTGACCCTTGTGAAGGGTTGTTTGATCCCCCAAAGGGTCATGATCCACAGGTTGAGATCCGCTGGACTAGACAAAACAGGATTTGCCACGTCCTAGCAATGTTGAACACTGTCCGCTGATGAAGGTAACATGCTGGGGTTCATGTGAATATTCTGCTTTTGTATACGCTGACGGATCTGCTTTAACAAGCTACTGTACCTGTGTGGGTCGGTAAGGCTGCTTCCTGCAAACTTATTGTTCAGGGAGGTCTCTGAGGTCCACAGACAATACAAGCACTTGGCACTGCTGTTAGTTGCCCATGAAAAGTAGACGGTAAGACCTTGTTGCTGAAGACGCCTTTGGTCACAGGACGTAACAGAAACCAGCCTGGAGCTAGGCTTGAAGGTTCTTCCCTGCCAGCTACCCTCGGTGCTGGAAGGCGGTGTGCAGGCTATGGGGGAGTGTTACCTGTGGTCCTACCAAGCTGTAGACTTAGCAATGTGCATTACTGGCCCAAAGTAAAATGTCCCCCCTGTAAACAGAGTAAGAAGCCCACGGCTGGAAGGGCCAGGCTATAGCGGGTAACACATCACCAGAGTGCTGCCAGCGGTCTAGAACCCTGAACAGAGCTGTTTGCTTTCCTGTGTCACCGGGAATTCTGTCTTTCTAAACCACCATTCCTCTACCTTCCTGTAAACACTAAGCAGGAGAAAGTTCCACAGCAGAATGCTTGCCCAGCACGCCAGAAGAGGCCCAAGCTCAGTTCTCGGAAACAGCAAAGCAGCAGGCACACGAGACAAGAGCAACTCTCCCTTTCAAGTCCAGTTTTTAATGACTTTAGTCATTTGTCATTTGGTAACTTCTGTTTCAATACTGCCGCCTGCCAAGGTTTACACTAAGTGTTATTCCTTTCTTGTCCTTGGGGGCAGCCAAATTATGATTATACCGTCTTCAAGTATCTTGAACTCAAAGTCCAACATGGCTCATCTAGTTGCAACTTCATTATCTTAAGAATTTTTAATTTATTTGCGCACGTGTGTGTGTGTACGTGTTCATGTATGGAGGCTTGAACAGGACATTAGCGTCCTCCACCATCACTCTGTATATTCCTTTGAAGTGGGGTCTCTCCCTGAAACTGGGGCTCGTGTTTTGTTGGCTAGGTTGGAAGGCAGCTGGTCCCAGTAATGCCCCTGTCTCTGCCTACAAGCCATCTCCCCAGGCTGTACTTCACTATTTTGCAGAAAATCAAACAGATTTATTATTATCCATCTTCTCAACATTCCTCCCAGCCTGGTTTAATCTACAGGATTTGGGCTGTCCTTTGTTAAACTCTACATTCTGGCTGTACATACTCCTAATTCCTGCTATTTGCCATGCTTCCCCGTTCTTGACGATGGCTTTTCTCATCACCTTCCATGTCACACAATCCTAATCAATGTATGTGCTCAAGGCTGCATTGAAAATGAGACAAAAGAGGCATTTTTCTTTAAAAAAGTTTTATTTATGTGTATATATGTAAGTTTGTATACACAGGTTTGAAGGTAATAGGGAGCCAGAAAAGGGTGTCAGAGACCTAGGAGATGAAATTACAGGTAGCAGTGAGTGAGTGCTGGAAACTCAATGGGTTTCCAGTAAGTGCCCTGGGAGAGCAGCCAGTGCTCTAACTGCTGAGCCATCTGGCCAGACTCCTGTTTTACTTTTTTTTTTTTTTTAAGGCAGGGTCCCAAGTAGCTCTGGCTGGCTTTGAACTTGCTATGTAGCTGAGGATGACCATGAACCCCTATCCCTCCTGCCTCTACCTGTGTATTGGGATTACAGACAAGTTCAAACACAGTGTACAGACTGTTGGTGGCTTAGAGTAGTCTACCTCCTCAGAAAAGTAATTTGCCATTGCAGATTAAAAAGTTTCACTTGCTTACACTCTCAGCACTTGAGGCTGAGTCAGAGTTTCAAGTTCATGGTCAGCCTGTTACAGACTGCTAGAACTCAGAATTGTAATCCCAACTGTAAAAGCTACTAAATGCACAATTTATTATATAATATCCTTCAGCCACTTAACCTGAGGCCGTTTCTTCAGAAATAAGACAGTCAACACCATCTCTTTGAGAAGTTAAAAAGTGGCTGTAAGTGAAAATAGACCTGTAGCTAATAGAAGTTAGCAAAATGAACAAAACGCTCACTAAGTGAGCAACAGGACACAGATGAACACAAACAGAGGAAGACCCACAAAAACCTCATCAAGAAATAACTAAATTAGTCACTGAAGGGTTATGTATTTTTATTAGCCTGAAGTAGAAAGCAAAAAGCATGAGGACGGGGGGGGGGGGAGGGGGGCTTGAAGAGAAGGCTCAGCGGTTGAGAGCTATGGCTGCTCTTCCCGAGGACCTGGGCTTGATTTCCAGCATCCACATGGTGGCTCACAATTGTCTGTAACTCCAGTTCTAGGGGATTTGACACCCTCTTCTGGTCTCTGTAGGCACGATACATGTATACAGTACACAGGCATACATGCAGGCAAAATACCCAGATAGATTAAATAAAATTAAATTTCAAAAGCATAATGATGGTGCTCCCTTTACTCCTTCAAAGCTCTGAACCTTGATCTCTCTTAGACACAATCCCCAAGACTTCTTATCTCCATCCTTTCCAAAGAAATGGCTGAATTAACAACAAACAAACAAACAACTCGGTTTTTTAAACTATGGATCCCTACTCCATACAAGATCATGCATGGGTCACCAGAGGACTCAACACAAATCTGGCAACACTAAAAGGTTTTTAAGTGTGTAATAACCAAAAATTAATTGAAAATCAAATATAGAGTAAATCCAACGTGTTGCTGGCAGCACAGGACCACCGCGTTGTATGGAGCCATGCACTGAGACCTTTTTTAAAAAACTCAGAATATGTGCATTTTGTACTATGCATGCTTTTATAACACACGACACTGTGAACTCTGCCTGAAACACCTCAGCTCAGACTACTGAGTGCTATGAAATTTCTTTCCCCCATTAGAAACATAATGGTTTAATTACATAAAACCATTATGTAATTATTTGTAACTATTACAAAAAGATTTTCAAATGTTTTTCCTACCATCCCTTTTTAGCATCTAATTATCAAATTAGTATTGTGGTAGTTGGAAGAAAAATGGCCCCCATAGGCCCATGTCTGAACCCCTGCTCCCAGGCGGTGGAGCTGTTTTCAAAAGAGCAGCAGATGCGGTCTGTAGCTCTCACACTGTCTCTGCCTTCTGGCTGCTGTCTTTACATGTAAACTCCTAGACACCACGCAGGACCACGCAATACTCCCCACCAGATGGTCAGACTTTAGGCCTCTGAAACGGTGAACACCCAAATTAAATGCTTTCTGTATGGGCTGCCTTGGTCATGGTTGTCACAGCAATGGAAAAATAAGATGACTATGTTCCTGGGTTGTATAAATTATTGCACAATTTTAAAAATTGCTGTTATGGGGTCTGGAGAGATAGTTCAGTTACCAGCATGCACTCACTGTTCTGGCAGAAGACCAGGGTTCAGTTCCAAACACCCACACCAGGTAACTCACAACTGCCTGTAACTCTAGCTCCAGAGATACGACACCTTCTTCTGGTCTCCATAGAGACCTGCACTTACATGCATACCCCTCAAGGTATACAGATATGATTAAAATTTTTTATTGAAAATAAGTATGTATGTATAGGTTTTTCAAGACAGGGCTTCTCTCGCTGTTTTGGAACTCCTGCTGTAGACCAGGCTGGCTTTGAAGTTAGAGATCCATCTATTTTTGCCTCCTGACTGCTGGGATTAAAGGTGTGCACTAGCATGCTCGGGTCATTCGATATATTTTGATCATGTTTTCCCATCTTCCAATGCCTCCTCATCTCCCTACCCACCCGACTTTATATTCTTTCTTCTCTTTTTAAAATGAAGAAGAAAAACACACACACACAAAAACCCACAAGAGTGGAAATCAAATTAAGCAAATAAAAGGTCCTAAGATAAAAAGTGACAAAGTGAAATGAGGCAAAGTCTACAAAAATACCACTGAGTTCGTTTTGTGCGGGCATGGGGCCTGCCCTGAGGTGTGGTCAATAGACCCAGTGAGACTCCACTGGAGAAAACCCATTTCTCCTTTGCTAGTGGGTATCAATTGGAGATAGTGTGTTGTTCACGGGTGGGAGCCTGTGCCCACTGCCCAGTCTGGGCTGGTAACTGTTTGTCTTCTATCTGTGCAGATCTTGCGCTTGTCCTTTTCCAGAAACTAAATGTTCGGTAGCAGCAAGACAAAAGTCCTTAAATAATATTCCTCAACCCTCACTACTGTATCTGTGTGTACGAGTATGTGTTTGCATAAACAAATAGCATCCCATCCTCCCTCGTTTGTTTGTTTGAGACAGGGTTGCTCTGTGGAGCCCTGGCTATTCCGGAGCTCACTCTGTAGACCAGGCTGGCCTCAAACTCAGAGATTTGCCTGCGTCTGCCTCCCGAGTGCTGAGATTAAAGGTGTGCACCACCACTGCCCAGGTATAAACAACATTAAAAAACATTAACCACAAATCTAATTTCATAAATTAAAGCTAGCATTTATTTTAAAAGTTGTACACAACATTCATTTGAATTTTAGCAGAAAACAGTTTTTCAGTTATGGATAATTGTCTAACTCTTCCCAGCCAGGTAGTAGAACATTCAAATTGATAAGAAGAAAAAAAGTAAGTCAAATCATCTTTGCAATATAGGTTTATTTCTAATAATTGTGATGATGTGAAAAATAAATAAAAACCCCTTAGCCTGATTTCTAATGAGGCTTTGGCTGCAGAGAGCATGCCGAAGCTGAACTGACACGGTAATAATAAGTACGCAACACACTGCAATAAATCAAGAGTATTTTGAATGTTTCCTAAAATTCTCCAAATAAAGTGAGAGAGAGAGAAAAAAAACCTCTGAAAAGTAGTTACCATCAGTGAAAACCATTTATTTGTATCCTACAAAGATTCTTACTTAACTGCAAAAACTATGTGTTACACATACAGTGGGTATGTGTGCTATGATTAAAACATTAGCAGCTGCTCATGGGAGATGGGATTCCATAGTCAGGGTCCGATAAGGAACAGAACTAGGGGTGACATTTATAAGGTTTCTTTATTGAAGAATTTCCAACAGAATTTCCAGAGTTAATGTGACCAGTTCCATGAGTTTATTACCAGGTTTAAGGGAAGCCCAAGTTTGTAATTCAGTTTCATGCCACGAGTATTTCTAACACGGCACAGTTGTTCAGGAAGGAAGCATATTTGAAAAACTGCAGGGCACACAAGCTAGGAAGTCATTAATCTTAACACCAATGGGTTTTTCAAATGAAGGTTCACGGCTAAAAGCTCTCGTTAGGTTTCTGCATAGATGCTGCTGGAGAAAGTGTACGGGAGAATGTTGGCTGGGAGCAGAGGTTAAAGTTTGCGGAAACAGATGTCCGTTTACCCACTGACCGACCCACCAAGAGGGGGCTGCAGCAGAGAAGCATCAAGTCAGTTGTGCCCGGCAGGCAGTGCTGCTCCTTAGAGAGCTGTGCTCTTCTCTGTTTCCCAATGCTGGCAAGCAGATTCAGCTTGCAGAAGCCTCTCAGGACACAGAGGTGGCTCTCAAGAGAGTCAAGTTTAGAGGCTACTCATGTTGAAGGATGAACTTATATCTTGGATGGAGCAGAAAACCAACTTGGTTCTTTTTTTTCCCATAATGATTTATGGATCTCAAAACAGTTACTTGTCAGATTAAAAAAAATTTTTTTCAATGATTTAAACATGCTGCTTCGGGGAAGTAACTGGAATATATTTATGTTAAAAGATAAAATTGAAAGTTTTACTAAAAAACATCTAACATGGAAAAACAGGGTGAAAACTGGTTCTTTAGAAATGTTTACAGTAGAGGGATTTTTAATTGAAAATAATCTCCCAGGCAGGAAAGGGTTAAGAGCACTTGTCCTTTGTAATACCTAATTTTGGTTCCTCCATCCACATGGTGGCTCCCTAACAAGCCTTCCATAACCCTAAATCCAGAGGATCTGATACCCTCTTCTGACCCCTGAAGGCATTGTACACCCGGTTACACAGATGTACATGCAGGCAAAACACCCACACGCATGTTATTTTTTTTTTTTTCTGAAAATCTGATGATTACTCTCCGCAGAAACAGAAAATCACAAGTTTATATGCCTTTACAGCCCAATGCTATATGCTAATTATACAGGTTTGCAAAGCACATAGCCAGACCAAGGAATTCCCTACGTCAGAATCCCAGAGGTAAAGTTTTAGCAGTTTATCACACTGAACAGAAACCGTGGAAAACAACACCCCCAATACAGCATTTCAACCTCCTGCCTCATGTCTTCTATCTGACTTCTGAGACAGTTCAAATTCCATTTTAGCCATGATTCTTGAAGGATCCAGTGTATACTGTGTATAGGAAGAGTCAACTGGGATTCAAGAACAGACTTCAATTAATTCCCCCAAATTTCAAACAGAGGCCCATTTTTCTAGAGATGGTTTGAAAAGGTTGAGCACACACGAATGCAGGTGCATATGTGTGTATTCGAGCACACGTTCATGTGTGCACACACTGAGGTCTCACTGGGGTAGGAATTACATACTTCACCACACCCACAGCAGATATTTAGGGTTTGTTGCCTTGGATTCCTCTGCTTCAAAATCTTTCAACTTTGTGTGTTACACACAATGATGAAATCAGTTACATTTATTGACACCATATGTTTTTTTTTGTCTGTAATGGATACAAGTATCTTCTTTAATGACAATGAAAGCAACTTTAAAACAGCTTTTGAAACTAGAGTTCGGAGGCCATTGGTTACCGCCACCTTTTAACTACAGGCCTCTGGAATGACCGCAACTGGAAAACTTACACTGTATCCAAAGGCTCAAGATTCACAACAAAAGGTTACTGCACAAGATGCACAAATACCACCTTTCCTTTATCTTCTATATGTCTTCTTGGGTTTCAATATATGGTTTCTAAGCCGGTTTGGCTGGGAACTCAGGCGATCTTTGGTTCCTCGGCCTCCTGAGTGCTGGGATCACAGGCATTCATCACCAGCCTGGCTCCCACAGGGCGTTCTTTCTCAGGACTGAGTGAGTGGTCCACAATGCACTCCTATTTTCTCACCCTCCTTGGATCTCTCCTAACTTAACTCAATTGCTGTCCCATAACTTACAGTTCCTAAGACAGCCTCCCAAAGCGATTTCCTTTTCATCTCTGCAGTCTGATTACAACAGATTAATAATCTCTTTCCAAATTTGCTAAAGTGGACACATAAAGTTTAAAAACAATCACCCAACCGGGTAATCAAGCAGACAGTTTTCAAAACAAACAAACGAACAAACACTCCCTCAAAGTCTAAGGCATACTTACAACTTCCAGAGGGTGGGAAAAGCCCTAAAAGAATTTAACGTCAAGGTTTTTTTGGTTTTTTTTTTCCCCCCCGTCCTTTCCAGCTTAGGCTGACCTAAGGGTCCGTTACAACCTGGCAATATCGCACAAGATGCTATCTTGCAGGAACTGGAGGCAGGGTCTTAACAAAAGGGCTACTCGGAAGCTTTGATGCGCCCTAGTGCCTGAAATACCTTAGGCCACCTTTCCTCCTAGATGCAACCGCAGCGGCTGCTCGCCCTCTCCGTGCAGGAAGACTCAAGAGCGGCCGGCAGCCAGCATCCCGTAGCCCCAGGGTGCATGGCCCGCCGGTCCCGCGCCCCGCAGCTGCCCTGCACCCAGCACGCGCGCAAGTCCCGGGGCGGGGGAAGCGTTCCCTGCGGGTGGAAGATCTCCGTCCCCGCCCTGACTCCCCGGGCCTCGGGCAGTGCGCTCCCGCGGGGCACTCTGGTCCCGGAGCTCGGACACGGGGGGAATGGGCGCCTGGGCCGCTACGCTTGGCGGCTGGGCCGCCCCGCAGTCGACTTACCTCCGCGGCGGCCGCTGGGCTGGAGAGAGCTGAAGGCGAGGGGAGCCGAGGCCAAGGGTACAGGAGAGCTTTCTGGGTTTGCGTGTTTGGGGGTGGGGGTCAGAGTTCGTGACCCCACCCTCGGCTCGGCTGTGCGCGGTGCTCTTGGCGCCTGCGCGTTGGCGCGGTGGAGCAGCGGCCAGCCGCGGTGACGTTCCCTGGGTGAAGCCGAGGGCCCCCGGAGTCCAGCGGCGGCTCTGGAAGTCGATTGCCCCCTGCAGGTGTGGAGGAAGACGGCCGCCGCAGCGGCGTGTCCACCCGACGCCCTGAGAAGGTAGCACCCTGTTCTTACAACACCTGCAACTCTGACGCCAGGCCTCCGCGGGCACGTGCACCCAAGTGCTCAGACAAGACACAGTAAGTAGAAATCAACGACAGCCGAGGGCTGGAGAGATGGAACAACGGTTAGGAGTACTTGCTGGTCCTCCAGAGAACTCGGTTTGATTGCCAGCACCCACATGCCTGGTTGTCACAACCTCCCGTAACTTTAGTTCCATTGGATTTGGTGCCCTCTTCTGGTGCACAAACATATGTGCAGGCCAAATACCTTATACCTAAAGTAAAAATGTTGAAAAAAAAAAAAAAAGAAAGAGGAGGAACAAGGAGATGAGGAAGAAAAGAAAGAAGAAGAAGGAGGAGGAGTCTTTTGAAACTGGCACTGTCAGATCTTAGACTGGTCTAACTTGTGATCCTCCTGCCCCCTCTCCAGTGCTGTAGGATTAACTTTTTTTTTTTTTTTCATTTATATAGGTGTTTTACCTGCATGCATGCCTGTGTACCACAGGTGTGCCTGGGGCAGGTGGAGGCCATCAGATCCTCTGGATGTGAAGTTACAGATGGTTGTGAGTGGCCATGTGGATGCTGGGAATTGAACCTGGGTCTTCTACAAGGGCAGCCAAGGCTCTTAACTGCTGAAGCCATCTCTCCTGCCCCATAAATAAAGTTTTGATTGAGAAATAATAAACCTAAGTGGTCTGGGATAGATGTCTTTCATCTCTGGAAAACTGGACTTTGTAACAGATACTCTATTAGTTCACCAGATAAAAGTGTTAACAAGTCTGTGTAGGATAAAAAGGACCTGGAAACACCCTGGTCGTGACTTGACCCCAAGACCAGGGTGCAGGGAAGAACACCCTGACTCTGACCCGACCCTGTCAGGATACCTTTCCCAGAAGAGCTGTAGTACTACTGTTGGGGAAACCTTTCCGTCTGCCTAAGCAGAGCTAGAACACATACATTCCGGGTATAACCCAATCACATAGAACTTCCTAGCAATATGACGAGCTAAAGGAAAAGTCACTGCAAACTTTACCTGGCTGTTTTTAGTAAAGAGCAGGAATACAATGACTACTGGGTATGTTGTGTTCCTAAGGGTTGCTTCTGGTTCATTTTGCTAGACAACAGTTAGCAGTTCCTGCTAGCCAATAAAGATTTGCAAAACAAAAGGTCACTAATGGAACATCACCTTCTGACAGTGATCACCTGTGGCAGGAAGCGCTGAGTTGCCTTCTAAGTAATATGTGGTTAGACTTTGAGGAAATCTGGAAGTTTCCTTTGCATCTAAATAAGCATTGTAGAAAAGCAGCCAGACTCAGAGCAGAAACCCAAGTTGGGGGGGGGGGGTATGTGGGGTGTGTGTGGGGGAGAACAAACTCTTTTTGCCCCAAGTAGAATAACTGTCCCCTGTGCTCCTGGTACCTCAGGCTTGTAATCTTAGCATTTGGGAGGGAAGGCTGGAGGAACAGGAGCTCAAAGCCAGTTTGAGGCTAGCCTGGGCTGCACATCTAAAAAAAGAATGTCATTTCCCTTTGGAATTAGGTATTTAGGCATAGAAAAAGGACTTGCAACCTTCCCTAGCACCATGTCTCATACATGTTGGCAAAGCCTACCTCTATCTTAGCGTTTGGATTGGCCATAGCGCAGCCCTTCTAATAACCTGAACCACAGGGTGCAACCCTGTCTTAAAACTAACAAAACGAATAAAACAGTCTTGGAAACAGAAGCTGCCTCAGGAGCATTGCTGTAGGCAACGTGTCTCTCTTTGTCACACTCTAACAAAAGGATGCCTACTCAGGTTCATCTTAAAGTATGGCTTAAAAGACATCAACAAAGCTGGGCTGGGTGTCACACGCCTATGATCCCAGCTGCTAAGGAGGCTGAGGTGGAAAGTCTGGAGACTGAAGGCCAGCTTGGACTACACAGTGTCAACAATGAGTAAAAAACAAAACCTCTAATAAAGGACTTCACACCAGCAGTAGATACTATAGTAAATTTATTTTGTATAAATTATAATACATATTAACATTATTTACAATGCTATTTTATTTATAAATGATCTTCATATGAACAGTAAGATACAAACCACTATCACTTTAAGTAAAAAAGGTGTTTTAAGAAAAAAACATTTAAAATATTTTGAAACTGGTTTTCACATACAACAAGTAACTACATGAAAGGGAAAGTTGTCTCCCTCCACTCCCGAGCTCAAAGGAAAAAGAATATTTTGATGTTTGTTTTTTTTTAAAGGCTCTACTACCTTTATTTTCTTTTTTCTAGCAGGCAAGTTACCATGGGAACCACCACTGTCTTTGCAGTGTACGAAATAAACCTGTTTTCTTTCTTAAAATCTTTCCTGTAATAACTAATTTTTCTTATAAGGGAAAATGACATTGATTTTCATTTAGAAAATAATATTAAAAATCGCCTAGGCTCCAGATTATGTGTACTGAAGATACTTTTTAGGGACCCATAGAAGTTACTTAAGTCAACAAGCAAACATTTATTCACTGTATGTAAGACATTCTTGTCAGATGTGGTAAGCCTCTGGTTAACAAGGCAAGCTGTTTTCAAGAACAGAATGTGGTAAGAATAATGAAAGTCTGATTATGAAGTGAGGATTATAGGAACACAGGAAAGAGAGTGCATTTAGTTTAAAGGACAGAGAAGAGGACCCCATCAATGTGGAATGTCAGATAACACGGAAGCAGAGCTGGGCTGACCTGACATGAGAGCGAGCAAACAAACAAACAAACAAAATGGCATGAACAGAGAAAAGCTGAAGTAGGTTCAGTTGGAGTGTATGGGATCAGAGGAATTGTTGCATGCCAAGCTACTGGGAAAGCTACTGAAGTCCATAGGAATGGGGATTAGACTAGAATTCTGCTTCAGACAGATTGCTTTGACAATGTTTAAAACAGACCACAAAAGAGAGGCGTTGAAATCAGAAAAAAAAAAAAAAAAGTATGCTTGCTTCTGTAGATAAGGGATTGAACTCAGCACCTCATATATAGTAGGCCAGTGCTGTGGCACTGTGGTGCACCCCCAGCTCAGAGGGAAAGCTATAGCAACTATAAGCAGAAGGAAAGCACAAGAGAGACTTAAGAGTTGGTTCAGAGCCCCCTGTGGTCTCCTGGGATGAGAAAGCTAGAGTGTTAGTCCTGCCACAAATGTGAGCTTGCAGGATGGTGAGGGGAGTGGGCATAAGATCCCGGTCAGAATAAGGGCTCTGGAGACTCAGTGACAGCTGAGTCTTGTTACTGAGCTAGGCAGGCTGAGGATGAGGCAGGAGGGGCTGTCTTGGAAAAAAAAAAAACAATGGGATGCTTACTCAAAACAAAACACCTTGGAATTCTTGTTCTCTGTGTTCAACTAAAGCTCCAAAGATCGAAGACAAATGGATAGAATAAATATAGTATCTATTTTTAAGGATCACATGGTACAATGAGATAGGATTTACCTCTGGAAATGCCAGCATTTTGACCACAATGAGCACATTGGAAGCACATTTAGCACATGCTGTGATAATTACATCAAATAGGAGGCTTTCTCCATTTCCTACATAGCCCACTATATACCTGGCTAACAAAAACATACGTTCAAGTTGTTGTCCTTAGTATCATTGCATTGTATTATAACTCAAAGAGGGGTGTGTGTGATTTCATTTTTTAAAAATGCTAGTAAATACTCAAATGATCAAGTTTCTTACTGGAAAAAACGAGGGCCGTCAGGGGCAACTGAATGATACTGGTTACATCAGAGAATGGGAAGAGGTTCTGAAACATGGGATAAGGTAACAAATGTCCCTTTTCATTCTCTTAGACTTGGTGGTGTCTTCTGCGATTCGCTGCTTAAGACAGAGGAGCACTGCTTAGGGGCTGTCCTAGCTCAGCCTGCCATGGTGTCTTGGTCACTTTCTGGCTGAGCTTAGGAGGCACCTGAGCAAAACTCTGATGGTAGCACATGCATGTGTGATGAGCAGCATCTCTGGGACCCAGAATCAAGGTCTCCTTGGTATCATTCACCCGTAAGTGATAGATAGCAATGGGGGTAACTCAGGGGTAAAGTACCTAAAGAACCTGGCTCAGTAATATTTTTAAAAGTAGTTTTATAGCAAATTATGAATACATTCTTACTTGCCATTGAATGAGCCATGTTAAATAAATTATTGACCATATTTAGTAGGTTATAAAGATCATGGAGGGATGGGGAATGCAATCTTACTCCACAATTAAAACGTTAGAGTGGGGGTAACCGTGATCTAATAGCTTCTATGCTGTCTTTTCCAAAATTTTGCATAGGACTAAGCAATTGGCAAACACAACCATACACGGATTTCATCATGCAGGGGTGACTTTGTGCGCTAACTTCCTTATACATATTTAGACTTTAAACAGTTTCTTGATTCTGTGAAGTGTTAGGAGACAAAATGCTGTGGTTAATACTTTGTAGACATTTTGAGGTTTACAAGCAAATCTTAAAGAGGTCCAGAATTCAAAGAGGACAAAATATGAAAATATAAAGAACCCTGGTTTCCAAAAGGAAGGCACTACAAACATTACAGAGATGTTTGCGTGAACAATATTTATGTGACCCAGTTAAAATGAGTTACAAAGAGCTGGCTTACCCCGTGGCAAGGAAGCATGAAGGGCCCTGTGAAATTGCACAGGGCTTCAAATTATGCCGTAGCCAGAAAGAGCCAAGAAAAACTCCATCTGCTACCTCTAGCATCCAGAATATCTGTACCCAGTAACATCCAGAAGGCCTCATGAAGGTATTCAGGATGAAAACATAGTATTCAGGATATAATTTAACTACTGACATCACACTAAATTTAACCTCATCTATAAAGAAGCAGAAAATTCTTGCATCCTTTAATAGATATCTATGGATAACCTTGCCTTTTAACTGATAGTTTAAACTCCGTCAACAAAATATTTAAACAATGAAATGATTTTCAGCATGTTAACTTCATTCTCCTGCTGCTAATCAACAAATTAATGTGCATGGGGTGTCCGTGTTAAAGGTGAGTGTGCCAGAGTAAAGAACATGAATCTTTCCTAATAAGGGCCGCTGGCTGGTAAAGTCCGGGGTGTTCGCGTACATCTGCACTCCCGGTTTCGGGGAGCCAAGGCAGGATGATAAGTATGAGGGCAGCCTGGGCTGCATGGAAGGACTGTGTCTCCAAAGAGACAGAGGGAGAGAGGATGGGCAAAATTTAAATGTCAGGAGGAACAAATCAAAGTAGCATAATATTTCCTTTAAAAAAGAATGATGATTTCAGGTCACTTAAAATACACGTTACAGAAAATATGACACCCTTTTAGATATAAATACCATCACTGAGTTGGGCTCAAACTCTTAAGAATAGTAGGGGGTATTAGGTAACATGTTACCTGCCTTAGTCTATTTTTTAAAACGCTAATCACTGAGCCAGGTGACACACACATGGAATCCCAGCACTTGATCACCAGCCAAGCAGGTGAGTCCTAGGCTAGCATGGGTTACACAACAAGATCCAGGCCAGGCTGGGTTCCAGAGGGAGGTTCTGTCTCAAAAAACAAAAAACAAAAAAAATCACATTTACACTGAGCTGGCAGCTTGAGATAAAGACTGGGTATGGTGCTGCAGGCCTAGGCAGACACGCTGTAGCTCAAGGTGTGCCTGCGCTACGCAGCTAGCTCAAAGCCAGCCTGGCAATTAGCAAGATCCTGTGGGGTGTGTGGAGGAGGACACAGGTATCAGTACAGATTCTGCTAGGATTTCACTTCACAGTTACTGAGGTAGAAGCTGGCTATGTGTATCTCTATTGCAACATAAAAAGTTCCAATTAAGTTTAGTGACTCTAAAGTTTGCATTTTCAACAGCAATTTTATAACTGTAATTTCTAAACCATACATTGTATGGACATTTGCTAATTAATATGTGTGTTTTGCTTGCAAAGATTTACCAATAGTGAAAGTGTCATGGTGTAAGGCAGAGACGATAGTGTGGATGGACATCACCAGTACTACACAGAGTACAGTTTAAGGTACGTTCCCATCTCTAAACAGTACTTTAGAATTCAGTATGAGTCTCAGAATCCATTCTGACTGGCAAGTAAACATCAACAGTTTAATAAATAACATACATGAAAAAACACTTTTAGGAACAGTATACACCTAACAAGACAATTTCTCTCATAACACCTGTGGGTGGATTTATCTTGTTCACTTTTATGTGGCTTTTGAGTAGCTTTGATTCCATTCTGCTGAGCCTCCACCTTGTTGGGATCACAGAGCAAGTGAAGCCAATGCTGCTACAACACAGTGCCCTCCTGAAACGCTTCTATCCACCTGGTGATGAGAGGTGTCCGTTAGGCTTGTGGAGATCAACCCAGTGACACCTGTGAGTGTGACCCTGAGAGCTTTCCTACAGCACACTGGCATTCTTACGGGGAACTGCCCTTTGTTTGGTAATCTGCTGTTTGTGGCACCACTACTTCAAGTGTGAACAGTCTGAGATGTTCTAGGGTAAGTGAGAAGGCATGGTGGACAAAGGTGTTTGCCACCAATCCTTTAGTTCCTGGGACCTACACGGTGTAAGCTGGAAACTGGCTCCTGCAGGCTATCCTCTGGTCTCCATACTAATGACACATGCACACACACAATAAAGAAACATTAAACACGAATGCTCGAGCACGTGTGTGTGTGTATGTATGTGTTTACTTGGCTTTGGAAGGGATATGTCAACAAAGGCCCTTATCACAACTCCTTTCCTTTCTTTCTGGTGTCCTGACTCAGTGAGTTTTGGAAACTAGCTATGGACTTGTTTTTCTCCTTAACTCTTCCAACCAAAATCCCCTTATATAGCCCCTAAATCAAACTTGTTCCAAATTTCTCAGTGAAAGGGAACTGATCTGGCATATAGTCTATCCTAAGAACAAGAATTTGCATATAATATAAAAGCTTTCCAAATACCATAGGAGTCATCATAAATTCTTGAGTCTAAAGCTTTTTCTGGAGCACACAGCTGCAGTTACTCAGAAGACTCCGGGGCTGTGTCCATTTCACTCTTTGCTCTTTGGACTCCCTTGAATACACTCCCCCCATGCTTAATGATAACTGACTTCTTACAACAGTGGATTACAGAAGAAAGGACTGGAGCGACCTATGAAGACCTGAAATCACTAAATTTAAGAGTAGCTCGTAACACGTTCAGCTCAAATTTCAAGGACAGAGTTTCCAAAACTTCAAATTTTAGGTGCAAAAAGCTTATGTTATTCTGCAATAGGATGATTTTAAGAAACTACATGGGGGCTGGAGAGATGGCTCAGCACTTAAGAGCACGCCTGACCTCCACCAGGCACTAGGCACACATGTGGTGCACAGCCATACACACAAACAGCTATACATTGCTGCATATCCTAAAATAGACAGAGGCAGGGGCGGTCTATCAGAGGGTAGCCCTAAGCCTGGTGGGTACTCAGGAACATACTTGATTCTAGCACTTTGGCTCTTAACTTCCTGCAAAACTGCCCACCATGCTTATAGTCAAAGTTCTCCCTTGTAGCCCCAAGCACTTAGCTTTAAAGCCTGCTGAACAAACATGAACACCCCTTACCGGAAGCAGCAGCATGCTTTGTGATGTGGACTAAATCAAATGAGAGTAGAGGTGAGCAGAGCTATTTGCATGCAGGGGACCTTCACTTCATAGATACGCATACACCTCTAGGCTAACCAGTTTCCTCAGACCTCAAATCAAGATTCTTGCCGGCATTCTGAAGAGACCACTTCAGCCTTGACCATCAAAGATGATACCTGTTTCCTTCTACTCAGTCTCTGGAAACAGCCCGTGAGTATTTAGTGTGTCTGGCTCTCCCTGCAAAGTAGTAAGGTGGCCTGCAGTTGTTTAAGTCCTGCTGGTCCACAGAACAACTGAGTGCGAAGATCCCTGTGCTCTCTGAAGGAGAGGGCTCCAGCCTGCGCCTTGGCCTCCTCAGACCTCCCAGTGCTTCCTCCCAGGCTGCTGCGGGCAAGCGCAGAGAGGACCACCCATCTTCTCTCATAGTCCATTTGAAAATTATCTGAATAACAGGTTAAATCCTGCTAATTCAGATCTTTGATTTAATTTCTGAGCTGTTCTCTATGCTGTTAAGATGTCACTTAAAAAGACAGCTTGAAACCTCCTGCAGGAAAAGGAGATCTGCATTACTTACTTCTGAGTGGAGTGGGCATCGTCTGCCTTAAACACATAAAACACCATGCCTTTGTGCAGTAGCTGAAACACTCTAGACTCTGAATTCTCGTCTTTGACTTGAGTAACAGTAAACCCTAATAAAGGCTGACTCTCCAGAGCTGCCACATCCTAATTTAAAAACAAACAAAGAAGACAGGCTTTTAGATGGAGATACAATGCAGGATGGAAAGTTCAATTTCATACACAACACAGTAATTCTGACAGCTTATTTTTGCTTAATGAGCAGGGAGCCACCCACTCCCCACCTGCTGGTTTTAAGTGTGCTTATATTCACCGAATTTCACACTGTTTTCACTGTGGCCAAGGAAAGTAGGCAGTGTTCTTTCATTTTATGGAGGGAGACACATAAAACTTAGAGCGGATCCCACTGAGGAACTCTGGGACTCTGCCAGTTGTTTTTTGAGACAGGATATCACTCTATACCACAAGCAGATGTGAACCTCACAGTAATTCTCCTGCCTGCATTCTCCAGAGGCTTTGTTTTTCCCTACCCCAACCCTTTTACCATATAACTTCCTGGCTTGTAAGTCACATAGATGTGTTTACTTCTGCCTCGAAGTGCTGAAATTAAAGACATACGCTACCATACCTGGTCCTCCCTACCATCTTTCCAGGCCCTTGTGTAACTCAAGGTAGCCTCAAACTGCTCCTGTAACTGAGGCTGACCTTGAACTCCTGATTCTCTTGCTTCTACCTTCCAGCTGCCAGACTGTAGGCATGTGCTACTATACTCAACTTCCCTAAAGGTTTTCCTAGGGTGCTGAGACACAGGTCAGGGGGGTTAAAAGGCTGGGGCCCAGGACACCTAGACACAGTTTATGGCAAAGGTTATTTTATTTGTGCTGAGGCCTGGTCAGTTCAAGGTGTGGGCACTCAAGAAAAGCCAGAAGAAAGGCCATCTCTTGTCTTGTGTGAAATAGAAGACAATAGAAACACAACAGCAGAAACACTGGCATTTTATTACTCTGGGAAATTCCTAACATTTGAATAAGAACACACAGGGAAAAGAATAACACTGTTCATATTCCAAGTGCTAGTAACCATCCAGGCATGGTGGCTCATACATGTAATCACAGCACTAGAGAGGTTGAGGCAGGAGGATGATTGTGAGTTTGAGGACAACCTAGGCCAAATGGTGAGTTAGAAAACAACTTGGGCTATGAGTCACTGTCTCAAAAAACCAAAGAGCAAAAAACCCAGGTTCTCTGCCTCCTGGTGCCTAAAACAACACTTGCTGGGCATGCCTAGAGCCCACTGTACATCCTCTGCTCTGCACCAAACAGAACCCACAAAACTAAAACAAGACCTCCAAAGTCACTCATAAGAGTCCGTCTTACCTCGCTTGCAGCGTATGTATAGAGTACTTTGTTTTTGATGACAAACCACAAGTGTTTCCATGGCTTCTTGGTGCCCTTGGATCTGTACAGGTAGCCACTCATGGTGGAGTCTTCTGTGTTTGCTGACACCTGGAGAAGGAAGTCTACATGTAGTTCAGTGGTTCACAGACTGCTCTCAATAACAACAGACGACGCAATAAAGAGCAGAGCTACTTGCAACCATCAGCTATTGAAAGCAATAACCATGACATTTCGGAATAACACTGGCTGTTCTCTGGATTTGAGGGGTGCAGTAAAAAAAATTGCCAACATGGCTGCTCCATGATATGGTTATGGTTTTATTGTAGACACGAGAGAGAAAGAACAGACAGAGGCAACTGGAGGAGTCGAGAGCAGAGACAGAAGGAAGGAGACTGAACGCGGCCAGCAGATTGGAAATGGCCAGGGCTACCTGTTAGAGTGGGGTAAAGATCATGGAATGGAGAGTAGTGAGAATAGTGGGAGCAGAACATAGTGAGAACAGCGGGGTTATAAGAAGCTGAGAGCCAGAGGAAGTTTAGGGAAGGGGAGGAGGTAAGAAGGGCTAGGATGCTAGCATGGACTTTGAGATATGAAACAGGTACTTGTGACACTGAGGGAGCTGGAGGCCAGCATGTGCTCTGATAAACTGACAGGCGCCCAACAGTTCTGCAGCCATTTTATTAATGACTCAGGTCATAACACAAAGGAAAACTGCAAGGCATCTGACATATCCATCAGGCAATTAAAATTCATGTCCTAATAGTAATGGGAAGTGATATCATTCTTTATGAGATTCAGACTCATCTAGTTTAATGGAAACACTTACCTCTTTGAGAGCCGCTGGGATTTTCTTCTGTTTTCTCCCAGATGGGATACTATGCAAGACTGATGAGAAGGCACTTGAAGGAGACTTGTGATTTCCAGGAGATCCAATCCTAGGGGGCATCTGGTGATCTATAACAAAGCAGGTGTGCTCATATAGTAAGGGCAAGCACTTGGAATTGCTACTAAAAATCAATGCACAGTGGTGCATAAAATACCCACAAAAGGGCTCTCAAGAAACACAGATGGAAGGCGAGAGCTGAGTAGGGATTGAGTTGATTATCTATAGAATTTTTTCCATGTCCTCACAGTTTTGAAACAGCTGGGGACACAGCTCAGTGACGGAGTGCGCTGTGTTCACAATGCCCTATGTTCAATCCTCAGTTCCAAAACATGAAGTAAAAACTCATTGTGATGGACATGGTGGCACATGTCTGTCACCCCAGTACTTGGGAGATGGTGGTTAGAAGGATCAGGAGTTCAAGGTCCATCCTTCCTTATCATAGCAAGTCCAACTTCAACCTGAGTTACATAAGACTCTATCTCAATAAATAATAAACAAACAAGCAAACATTCTGAAACATACAAGGACACCATCAATTTCACAAACTTCCTCACGGACTTAAAAATGTTGATATAGACAAAGGCAGAGATGTATGAACCAGAACATCTGCTTATCGAATAATGAAGCTAGAAGGAAAAACAGGGTATGAGTAGCTCTAAGAAATTTGGAATGCTAGGGAAGGATGTGAACAGTTTGGCTTCATGGCAATCTCCTTGCTTCAGCCTGCTGAGTGCTGTGTAATCAAGTGTGAGCCACGCTGCCTGGTTCCAAATCAACCACTCTCTGTTTCATAGTTTTGCTTTACATGATGCTAAGAATCAAGAGTAGAGCCTTGCACAGACTAGGCAGGTACTTTCCATGGAGCCATATTCCTCCTAGACGGAGTATAGAAAAATAAAGTAGGCAGGCATGAAGAGGGATTTGCAGAATGATATTATTACAGCAATCTAGACCTTATTAAGGTTGACTCGATGAAAACAAGATAAGTGAGACTTTCTGAGATAAAATTGACAAGGTCTACTAACCAATAGTGGTGGGTGACGGGAGGTGAATGTTTACATTTCACATTGGTGTACCCAGAGAACAAGAATGGAATAGAAAGGCTGACAAAGAATAGATGGCGTGTCTTTAAAAATGTACACAAACAAAGCTATTGTTCTGTAAAAATGGGGATTCTAAAATAGTGTGGCATCTCGTTTTATTCACATAGATACTCCTTTTTCCTAATAAGCTATTTTTCATGGATATAAAAGATAATGATTTTAGAATTTAGATCTAAGGTTTTGAAAATTTAAAATATAGACTTGAGCAGTCAGTCCTCTTAGCTGAGTTTATTTGCCTGTGGGCAAATAATGCTCACAGACACTGAACAGGCAGATACAAAATACCATGCATTTGTTCAAAGAGCTCTACCTCCCAAGAGTGGTAGCAACACTTGGAAGGCTGAGGGTTCCAGGTTAATCTGGGCTACACAAAGCAATCACCTCATTAAAAAAAAAAAAAAAAGTAAATAAAGGTGTACAAAACCCCTCAGTAAACCAACCATCCAATGAACTAAAACTCAACAACAAAGTCCCGACTAGTCAGTTTCCATGTTGAGTTACTTTGCAGATAAAAATATGTAGGGCCTGGGAATGCAGTTCATAGCGCAGCACTTACCTCTCACATGCAAAGCTTTGGGTTTGGCCCCTTGTACTTCCAGGGGTGGGGTGAAGAAAGAAATGAAAATCCATCTCAAAAATGAAAATTAAAAAAAAAAAAAAAAAAAGGTCTAGAGAGATGGCCCGTAGTTAAGATCACCATCTGCTCTTGCAGAGGACCGGGTTTGATTCCCAGCACCCACAGGATGGCTCACCAGCATTCTTAACTCCAGTTCTAGGGGATCTGACACCCTCTTCTGACCTCTGAGGGTGCCACAAACACCTGTGGTCACTATATGCATTCGGGCAGAATACTCACACATGTAAAATAAATAAATAAATCTAAAAGAATATAAATGAAAAATTATTTAACAAAGTGAAACTTTGAAGCGGTTCACAAGTTAAAGTTGCCTTTTAACTGTGTAAGCATTTCATTCTGTAATAATAACTCAACAATTAGTTTTCTCAGTAGAACCATTTCACATGGTTAAAAAAAAAAGCTCAGTCCAATTTCTCTTGGAATACCATAATACTAAAGATGGAGCACAACAGAAATTAGGACAAGTCCAGCGATCATGCTGTCATGGCAAACACTGTTCTTTTAGGAGCCTGCAAGCATCTGAGCAATGAGACTCTTTGGTTAAATGTTTACATTACATTACCTAATTTCTGTAGTTCTTGGAAGCAGTGTTCACATACTCTTGCCAGTTGCCTTTTCAGGTAGTCTAAGCCATACTTATTTGATGAGCAAGCTTGGCATACAATCTGAAAACACATTGCAGTATTTCATTGAGGGAAACTTTTGACTAGACGCCATTAAAAAGGCTGCAGTTTATAGCACTGCCCATTTTTCAAAACAGTTTGACAATGACTAAATCTCACCTATCTCATAGTGTTCCAGCATGCAGTGAGCTAACTCACACGACCACACTTGAGAGGCTGCACTTAGGCTCCGTCGAGTGCTCAGCAGAGCTGACACAAGCCTTCGGAACACTGCCTAACGCGCAGGAACTTCTTTCAGCCTCATGACCACCCCTTATCCTGGGCATCATCCCTTAACATCCCTGAGCATCACTGCCACAGCAACTACTTCTCTGAAAGGCTACTACGACTATGCTCATTCTGCTAAACACCTCATGAAAGCATATATTCCAAGGACACATGTGGTCCCCACTGGGGTACTAGGAGGAGGTGGCAGAAACTTTAAAAGGTCATTAGGGTGGTGTACCTTCAAAGAGGATGGTGGGGTCATTTCTTCTACATTTTTCATTTTCAACTATTAAGTT